ACCCAAGCAAGATCGAGAGGGAATCACAGCATAGTCCATACCTTCGTCTGACAAATCGTACTAAACTGAGAATCGATACAAAGTCTCTTCCAACTCTTCATACTTTTCCACAAGGTCGCATGCCCCTAGCACACCTTGGTCAAACCCAAATTGACTCGTCACACGCTTGGGATTGTATACCTTCAGCACATCACCCAGCTCAAATCGACCAGGCAGATAACATGGAGTCACCATTAATGCAAAAGATTGCTCATTATGATTGCAGGGCTCCTGACTCTGGTTGAACACCCTCTACTCCTCCCAGTACAACGGTACATCAATTACTCCAGCCACTTTGTCCTTGTACGGCCTAAAAATGAACTCTAGTTCTGAGTAAATCACATAACTTAAAGGAACTTGCCATATACGACCAATCCAACGCTTCCCTCGCGCCCCTTCAGGGTCTCCCAATTCCAGAGGCAGGGACCATAAGAGGGAAACCGCTCATATAAGAACATCTGTAGAAATCCAGTGGCCAAGTACGACACCATAGGATATCGTCCCATTGATCGTATGAAATCTTTTGCCACCATGTCTAATCGCTGGTATAATGTACCCAAAAATAGAGGTCCTAAAGGGAGAGCAACACCACTGGCTATTTTAACAGCTATCTGGCACCACCTGATTAGCGAAGCATCGTCCGAAGTCCTAGGAAAAATGTACTTCGATTGCCAACATAACACATCCGCTGCTAACTCCGCAGGATGTCTAATTTTATCTCAATCGATCGCTGGGTGCTGTGATTTGTCACCTTTAAACGAGGGTTGAAAGTCTTTGAAAAAATACCGGATCCAAGCCCTAGTCATGTTTTTTCTAGCACCTTCATTCCTTTCCTCGCGCCGGCCACCTTTTGGTCCAAAAAAGGATCCATAACTTTTTGTCTTCTCTAATCCCTCCTCTAAAACCTCGAGGATGGCTTGCTCTGCCGCATCCAACTTGAAAGGCATAGAAAATTCTCCACCAATAACATACAGACCCAATAGATGAGTAACATTGTGATACCCCTCGATTCTAGAGCCACGGGTGATCAAGTCTAAGTACAGATCCAAGGGATACCAAACAATTAAGTATATAAACAAGCATAGAATACAAGAAGAATTTAAAGAATAAAGATTTAAATAAGCTGGAAGAAATCTAAATAATAAATCCTCGAAATAATAATAAAACAATCCAATATTTCTAAAACTTCAAATATTATTATAACTTGGGAATCCATCTAGTGGACCCCTAATAATAACCCCAACTAGAAATAAAAACTGAAACAAAATCCATAGCTAAAACATGAAGAAAAGTCCTACGTAGTCGAAAGAATGAGAGACTGTCTCTGCCCAGCATGAATAAGCTCTAAACCTGGAACTGTCAAACACCTGAAAAATAATGGTAGGTCAGGCCCACGAATAAGTTCTACTCTACTACAATCTAAACAAAGACCCGATACACAGATAAATCCTAGACAACTCAACAATAGCTAAATAGTCCATATGTATATAAATACACACTATAGGACTCTCACTGGATTACAAGGCGGTCTCAACCTAACTAGAAGGTAACATGCAAAACGCACCTAAAGTGGGCATGAGTATCTAAACCTAACAGGATACACCACTAACTATCATAGCCAGCTATGCATCCCACTGCATATACGCTCCTTAACCATTGATCATGCGACTCAAGCTCATATCATGGCATCATAATCATATATTTAAATTCATCTAAAACCAAGGTATGTCATTCAACTGTTCGTTGACCTGTCACGAATATAAGTATGACTTATTATTGTAGTAAATCCATTCCCTTATATTATAATAGGTAGGACTTAGCGTTTTGAGCTAATTCGTCTCTAATATGCCACCGTCTCATACCGGTGCATATAATCCATAAATTTAATAATTGATAAAACAAAATTAAGTAGTTTATCAATTAAAATCCAGAGAATGATATAATGAAAATCATATAAATAACTGAGCACATTATATTGAAATATTTAAGAGTATATTCATATTAATCCATTTAACTTGCTAGAACAACAACCAGTAATTAAATCCTCCATAATCATTGACAGCATGCAAATCAGTATTAAAATTTCATGATGTCCAATATCTTAGTATAATAGCATAGATTAACAATTCTAGGATTTTAACATGTTTATTTAAATCATTTAAAACCCCCCATTATAGTCCAGAACCACATTTTAGCTCCTGAAGTTCCAAAAATATAAAAAATACACTCATAGGAGTACTACTAGTAGGGGAACTGCCTCCCCTAAGGAGGGAGCCGGCTCTCTCTGTATGCTAAACCCCATCATCTTCTCCGCCTCCGGCGATGTGTAAAACCCTTTATAATGTTCTGTTCAGGTTCCTAGGGGTCCAACCTATGTCCCAAAATTATCCCAGAAACTCATATAAACCCAGTATGCATCATTAACAACAATTAAAACATATATGATGAAACAATTGATACAATAAATCAATTTCAATTAACAACACATAATATAGTTTAAACTCTGAATTAACATGCATACAAGATCAATTCTAATATCTGATTAAATCCTGGAGATTACCTAGGCATGCATATAACACAAGTCTAAGGAAAGGAGTAAGAGAAAGAACTTGCCTTTGAGATTTCGGATTAAAATCCCAATGTTGTCTTCCTAGATTTTTCGGCAATCCTTGATTGTTCTCAACTCCTCTGGTGCCCTTGGTTCAACCCATAAGCAAGCTTCAATAGCCTCTCCTTGGTTCAGCCTTGGTTCTTGGCCAATCTCTCTCGTCCTTCTCTCTCCATTCTCTCACAACTCTCTGTTCTTTCTTTCTGCCTCCACTGTTACGTGAATAGGGTTCTTTGGTAGACATATATATATATATATATATATATATATATATATATATAGGCTTATAAAAAAAAACTTAATTCTAATTATATGAGGAGACGAAAAAGAAAAAGAAAATATAATATAATATAAAATAAATAAATAAATATATATATATATATATATAAGTCTGCTATCCCCCAACGTGATTTCATATATATATATATATATATATATATATATATATATATATATATATATATATATATATAACCCAAAAACTATATAATACATATATACTGAATAATGATGCTAATTTAACCATTAATAATAATTAATAATTAAACTAACCTTATATACATATATACCCATATATATATGTATAACCATCCATGAGTATTAACTGTACCAATTTAATCTCCTATTCAAGTAATCCATGTGACCCAAACAGTTGGTCCATTACTACTATCCAAGCCCAACTCCTTAAAATAAAATAAAAATTTAATTTAAATATTTAATTACAACTAAACACTTAGCACATAAAACAGATAGCACACATCATATAATCACATTTTTTAATTAACCAATTTATTCAAATAAAACAATTAGTTCAATTTCCACATATGCATACAATTTAAATGAAAACAAATAATTCAATTAAACAATTAAACAAATAGGCAAATAATCAAATAATGAATTTAAAAACGCAATAAAACCATAAAATAAATACTGAGACTATCCTTTTAAAATTAGGGGTATTACATTCTTCCCTCATAACAAAAGGAATTCTATCATTAGAATTTGCACTTACCTTCTTCCATTATTTCAAGAAACTACAAACGAATGACATCCTCCCGTTCCCAAGTAGATTCAACCTCATTATGGTGACTCCACTGGACACGCACTAAAGGTATAACCTTATTGCAAAGAATCTGATCTCGATGGTCGACAATACGACACGGTGGCTCCATATAGGTTGTATCTGGCTGCAACTCAATCTCACCAACATCGAGATGCTGATAACGATCCTCATCTTGCAGAAATTTCCATAACATAGAAACATGAAACACATTACGCACACGATCCAAATGATCCGAAAATGATAACTGACAAGTTACAGCTCCAACTTGATCTATAATCATGAAGGGACCGACAAACCGCGGTGACAATTTTTCTTTCTTCCCAAAGCGCATTACTCCCTTCATAGGAGACACTTTGAGTATAACCTGATCTCCAACCTGAAACTCCAATGCACGAGTACAATGATCGGCATAACTCTTTTGCCTACTCTGGGCAGTGCGCATGCGATCTATAACAAGAACAATCTTCTCAGAGGTATCCTTAATGAACTCAGGACCCAAAAATCTGTTCTTTCCAACCTCCATCCAACAAATAGGAGATCGACAAGTTAAACCTAAATCATATTTGATTAACAATAATCAAAATCAAGACAAATGAAACCCTATCTCAACATTTAACAATTCAGAATAATAACAACAATAATCATATTAACTCATATTTGATTAACAATAACAAATAATAAAAAACTAACCTAGCTCAACATGCACTTAACAATTCAAAACAACAACAATAATCAGATAAACTCATATTTGATTAACAATAATCTAAATCAAAACAAGTTAAACCCTAACTCAACACTTCACAATTCAGAACAACAACAATAAACAGATTAACAACTCATTTGATTCACAATAATCAAAATCAAAACAAGTTAACTTATCCAAAAAAAAAAAATCAAAACAAGTTACCTTATCCAAAAAAAAAAAAAAGTTAAACCCTAACTAAAAATAACTCAACTCTATTCAAAATTAGAAAAAATATCATATTTGATTAACAATAACCAGAAACCAAATTACAAGAGTGAGAACATGATTTTTTATTCAAGCGTCTCCGATGCAGATATGGAGAAAGCTCTGGTCCTTAGAAAGGCTGTCATTATAAGAAAAAAGGTTATTGGTGACAGACTTTTAGGGACAGTACAAAAACTGTCCCTAGACCCTATTATTAGGCCTAAATAATTTTTTTCAAAATTAGTCTTTAGGAACTATAAATGTACTGTGACTAATGTGACCTTATAAAACGATGTAGTTTTTGTCAATAAGTATATATATCATGCGTCCAAGACCTAGCCTCCTCTACACAACTCTGCTCTCTCTCTCTCGTCTAAGTCCTAGCTTCTATCTCTGCTCTCTCTCTCTCTCGTCGAAGCCCTATCTTTCTCTCTTGCTCTCTCTTTTTAGACGAAGAAGATGCGGACAAGATGATGTTGTAGATTCGATATAGTCTCCCTATTCGAGTTATCTCTTTGGTACGCCTCTCTATTCAAGTTCTCTTTCTGGTTTGGACACGACAAACAACCATTTGGAGCCATAATTTCTTCGAATTTCAAACGGCTATATACCTCAATTTGGAGCAAAAAATCAAGGTTCTCTATCTCTTTCTATATATGTATCTATTAGTTTTGATTTTTTTATTAAGAGTAGTTTTATTTAATTTTTTTTTTTTGGGGTCTTTCTGTAGTTTTTTTTTATGCAAATTCATATTTTAGGGTTTCATAATTGCAAGTGAAATTGCAGATTTGGAAAAACTTAGGAACAAAATAGCCAAGCGAGTTGAGAAGCTTTCCATTAAGGGTTCTGTCCCAACACCATCTCCTTCTGGGAACTCCATTGGAGCTATCGATCTGAATGTTCCTATCCTAATTTATTTACACAATATATGTTCATTTCAATTTCTTATTTAAAAAAGAAAAAAAAGAGCCTTGTGTTGTCTCATGTACGAGAGAAATGTCTCGCATTCTTAGGAAAGCTAGTGATACAGTGACCCTGTTTTTCATTGTCAAACATTGGATGAATTCAAGTTCGACTGTTGGTCGTAGTACCAAAATTCACCAACCAATGTTTCGATCTTCATTGGCTTACCCAACTCGAATCCGATCAGTCCATTCTTCTTCGTTTTCTTCAACTAGGTCACATCTAGATTCTGATAATCTCAACATACTCAACCACAAAGACTGGTTGTCTCCAAATGAGGTTTTGAAGATCTTCCAAACCCTAAAAGACCCCAACTCAGTGATCACTGTATTGAACCAACTCTCAAAGCGCAAGGACTATAAACCCAACGAAGCTCTTTACTCTACACTGATCAGCAAGCTTGCACTGGCCAAGAACTTTGATGGCATTGAGGATGTCATGAAAAGAATCAAAACCGAAAAAAGTTGCAGACTTTCTGATGATTTTTTGTATAATGTGATCAAAATCTATGGCAATGTTGCAGGTCGTATAAACAGAGCAACCGAGACCCTTTTCGATATGCCCAACTATAACTATTGGCCTATGGTGAAAACTTTTAATTTCATGTTGAATTTGCTTCTAAACTCGAAGCAATTTGATATTATTCATGAAGTTTATATGGGTGCTTCTCAATTGGGCGTCGAGATTGATGCTTGTTGTTTGAATATCATCATTAAAGGGTTGTGTGAATGTGGGGATCTAAATACTGCATTCTGCTTGCTCAATGAATTTCCTAAATAGGGTTGTAGGCCAAATGAGAGAACATACTCAACGCTAATGCATGGGCTATGTGGCCATGGTCGGATTGAAGAAGCATTTGGGTTGTTTGAGAGGATGGAGAGGGAGGGTATAGAACCAGATACAATCACATTTAACAAATTGATTTCGGGACTTAGGAAACAAGGGAGAGTGAAAGAGGGCATTAAGCTTTTGGATAAAATGAGGCTTAAAAGGTGTAACCCAAATCCAGGAACTTATCAGGAGGTCTTGTATGGTTTGCTTGGTACCAAGAAGTTCGTCAAGGCAAAGGAATTCATCGGTCGAATGTTTTCTCAAAGTGTTAGTCCTAGTTTTGAGTCTTACAAGTTGATGATACATGGGCTGTGTAAGCGAAATCTACTGGAAGATGTTGATTGGGTACTGAAGCAACTGGTGTGGCATGGTTTTGTACCCAAGATGGGAATGTGGAGGTAGATTGTTCAGTGCGTGTTCTCAAAGAAGAGCAGTTGTAACAGTATTTCTTATGAAAAATATGTTGGGAACTGGCCTATTTGAAACATCTAATCGTCGAACTATGCTGTGGTCCATGACATAATTGGGAAGCACAATATATGGAAAAACATTGAACTCACCCTTTGATCAATTTACAAAACCAGAAGACACACAGAATTTGTTTGACTTAACTATATATCAGAGGCAATGAACAAGACACCATCACAACTTTTACTTGATTTGACTGAGCCGTTTCCATCAAACTTGCAGAAGGAGTCCAGTGATGCCCTAGTCTGGAGAATGCTTGCAAAGATGTGCCAAGTATCTACAGGCTACAAAATTTCTTTTGCTCTCCTCTATAAACATCGTCTAGCTTGCTTCAATTTTGGCACAATATATGCATCAACCACATCTAAAACTGAGGTGCCTGCAGGCTGTATCACATGGAAACAGAATAATTTGATCTTTTACTCCCAAGAAGGGCTGCAATCTGCACGAGGGCTAGTCAAAGAATGCTTCTTCAAGTTATGTCTTTGCTTTGAGGGAGTCTACATATTTCATCTAAAGAATCAGTAGGAGAGACTTCAATACAACATCCATTTAATCAATTAGCTTGTTGGATATCAGATGAACGAACTATGCTTTTGTTATGTTCAGGGCAGTACGGTTCTAGATGAATGGACATGAGAGGGACTTATATAGAAAGGAGTTTGAGAGCTCTCTATCTCAAGAATGTGGCCAACACTCATCTATGTTACAATTATTTGAGCTTCACAATGTTTTCATTAAGTTTGAATGAATTGTGGGCTCTGTAACAAATATTCTGCTGTATCAACAAAATGTTAATAATGTAGGTGCTAATTGAATCAAAATTATTTCATAGGATATAAAAGATGAAGGCTTCATGTTTTATTCTACCATCTGAGTCCTGATTATTGATAAGAAACAAAAAATTTTACTACCTTCAATTGGAGGAATTGTTCTAACATAACAGATTCTCATCTATCTTCTTCTGTCTTATCAGCAACCTACCACTGCATTGCTGAGATTAATCTATTACAAAAGATAAATGTGGAAATAATCCAAATCCTTTCTATTGATAAATGCCTGAAAAGTTTCAAGATTACAACAAACATTTACAAAAAGAGCCGTTTGACATTGATAGGGAAAAATAAACATAACCTACCTTGACCTAACGATAGAGGTAACTAAGTGTTGACCAGCAGCCAGATCTCTTCGACTTTTGAACGATGACATTTTCATTGGATAAGAATGATAATATTTTATTATCAAGGATAATGAAAGATGACGTGGTTCAACAGGGTAAGGATAACCTTGGCACAATTTGAGGAAGTCAAAGGGGTAAATTATATCCTCGACAAATCTGGCAACAAACGGATCTCCTCTGATCTTGCACAAGCTGACCTCCTCTGATCCCGCAAATGAACTGAGGGAGAGTGATTATAAGAATGAGATCCTACTAGTCAATAAAGGGACAACAAAAAACGATTATTAAATCCCTGCCTTTCTTTTAGACCTCCGGTAACTGACTTAATCATTGGAGAGCTCTTAGCAGGCACCACACCGGTGCCGTCAAGATTCATCGATCTTCTACTTTCTTTTTTGCTGGAAAATGGTGTCGTATCGGACCGCGTGGATTTCTCCCCCAACAGTTGGTGCCGTTTGTGGGAAACGACGATTTCCTTAAATCAATAAATTACTCGGTTGGGTTTATGCACTTGCGGTCCAGTATGGTAATTGAAAAAGAAACATCGTTGCAGGGATCTCGTCAAAGAGAAGGGTCAAGTGAACACCCAGACGTCCCGAATGACCAGGAACGGCTTGCAGCATTAAAACTACAGGTCCAAACTCTGAATTAGGGTATAGACTAGTTGATCCAGCAAAATTCAGAGATCCTGCAACATCTTATCCCAGCAGGACCACCACCTCAACAAGAATTGTCCGACCCATATCCTCCCAATCTGAATGATGGGGGAGAACACGAGGAGGACCGAGAAAATGATCCTCCTCACAAGTTCGAGGCAGAACAAAGCCAAGTCAGAAACCAACACAGAGAACCTCCTTCCTCGCCTCCGCGGAATCCCCAGCCTCAAACAGGCATAACCTTCTGTGTTAAGGAAAAGACAGAGAAAGTTACCTATTTCGACCTACAGATCAAGGATCTCAAGGTGAAAATGGAAGATGTAATACAGGCTATAAAAGGGAAAAGTTTTGCGGCCATAGATGACCCACTGCAGAGGACCAACTTGCCATTCAGCCCTGCCTTTATGAAATACCCTCTGCCTAGCAAGTTCAAGATGCCCTCATTCGAAAGCTTCAATGGGACCAAAAATCCCCTCGATCACCTGGAGACCTTTCAAGCTCTTATGCATTTACCCGCCGTGCCAAATGAAATCATGTGCTGAGCTTTTCCCACTACACTTAAGGGATCAGCAAGAGTTTGGTTCAACAAGCTGAAGCCAGGAACCATCAACACCTTTAAAGAACTGAGTAAGCAATTTGTGAGCCACTTCATTGCAGGTCAGAGGCATAGGAGGCCGGCCACCTACCTGCTTACCGTGAAGCAACAGAAGGGAGAATCGATCCGGGAATACATCACCCGATTAAATACAGAGATGTTGCAGGTAGAAGATGTGGACGACACGGTGGTTTTCACCGCTTTCATAGGAGGACTCCAAACCTCTAGATTCTTGTTCTCTTTATCAAAAGAACCTCCCACCAGCATGGCAAAGTTGTTAATCAAAGCGTAGAAACACATGAACGCTGAAGACGCTATGAATGCACGGAAGGGAAAGGAAGGAAAGGACAAGAAGAAGTCAGCCCCTCTCGCCAGGGATGAAAAGGTTACCAACTATAAGAGATCATTCTTCAGCCAAAGTGATAAGACATATCGTGAGAAGGACTCAGATAAGTATATCGACTAACAATTGTCTCACAGCTGGAATTAGCCTTATCAAGTCATTCAAAATAAAGACTAGGAGCATCTTAGTTCGTTATTTTAAATGGAGGGTAGCTCCCTCAGGTGTTATTTTGTTTTCCAATAAAGTCACCATCACCAATGAGATGGATGACCCTCATTTTTTACGCAATAAAATATTACGTTTTCAGTTACTTACCTATGTGGTAATTAATGCTCTACAGAAAGCTAACAAAAAAACCTAATTCCCTTACTAAAGGGACGAGCTAAGTGAAGCTCGTAAAACATAATTCCCTTACTAAAGGGACGAGCTGAGTGAAGCTCGTAAAACCTAATTCTCTTACTAAAGGGACGAGCTGAGTGAAGCTTGTTCCCTTATTAAAGGAGTGATAAGCTGAGTGAAACTTGTAAAATTTATTCCCTTGCCAAAGGGATGGGCTGACTGAAACCCATAAAGTTTACAACTAGTATGTTGGATTTTCAAAAGAAAAATCCAGTTTTACATCACTAAGAGTCATTGACCATGGTTTTGAATCCATGCCCTTCCAAAACAGAACCTTGATTTGGTATTTGTATTAATTCTACCATTGGGAACACGGGAAGAGTACCCAAGGGAAGAGTTTCCAAGGGTACCAAAAAATAAAAAATATTGTTCAAGTGAACAGTGCCCGCGGCACTATTCCCGAGGGAACAGTGCCAAAAAAAAAAAAAACTGTTTAAGTGAACAGTACCCGCGGCACTATTCCTGAGGGAACAGTGCAAAGGTAAAATAAAAAATAATAATAAAAAATAAAATTTCACATTCCCAAAGCTAGACGAGTAAACTTGGGAATAGGAAGCAACTGATAGGGAAAAATAAATCTAACCTACCTTGACCTAACGATAGTGGCAACTAAGTGTTGACCAGCCACCAGACCCTTTCGACTTTCGTACGATGATATTTCCATTGGATAAGAATGATAATATTTCATTATCAAGGATAATGAAATATGACATGGTTCAACAGGCTAAGGTTAACCTTGGCACAATTTGAGGATGTCAAAGGGGTAAATCATATCCCCGACAAATCTGGCAACAAACGGATCTCCTCTGATCTCGCACAAGCAGATCTCCTCTGATCCCGCAAATGAACTGGGGAGAGCGACTATAAGAATGAGATCTTACCAGTCAAAAAAGGGACGACAAAAAATGATTATTAAATCCCTGCCTTTCTTTAGACTTCCAGTGACTGACGTGATCGTCGGAGAGCTCTTGGCAAGCACTACACCGGTGCCGTCAAGATTTATCGATCTTCTACTCTCTTCTTTGCAGGAAAACGGTGTCGTATCGGACCACGTGGATTTCTCCCCCAACAGACACTTCTCAAGATTACATTTACATTGATATGAATTATACTCAAAATCATCACCACGTGGAAAACTTATGGTGTAAAACCACTAACAGTTGATTTTCTGCAAAAATTTCTTTTAAAGAAAAATTATAATAATAATAATAATAAAAATAAAAAAAAATAAAAAAATAAAAAAAAACTATCTTTTACCTCCTGCATTCTCCACAGAATTCTTGGGATACGATGTCGACTTGACCAATCTCTCTCCATTTCCTTCAGAGCAATTTCTTTGATGTGTCCTCAATATTAACTGCAGGGTCACAAGGTATCATTTGAGCATGTTCCTTGGATTTAAATGAATCATTACTACAACTAGTTTTAGGACTAGAGACAAGTGGAATCACTTGAATTCTAGGGGTATAAATTGATGATGACAGAGATTTCTTGTAAGAAGGGACAGATCTAACAGAAGTGCCTCTATGACACAGGTGATCCTGAATCAACTTGAGATATTCTTGACCCACTAGGACAAATTCATTTTTTATGCCACGAGCAGATTTTCCAAATGCTTCAGAATGCTCTTTGCTATATCTTTCACATGCCCCTTGCTTGGGTTCTCCAGGACACTTTCCTTAAGACTACGTATTCCTTCTGCTTTTAGAACATCAACAGAAGATGGTCCAGAAAGGTTGCCCTATGTGGTGTCCTTCGCACCAATCTCCTTTGTATTGTTCGTCTTAATGTCAACATGTGGAGATGGAACTGGTCCAATCTCCTTCTCATTGATCGCTTTAATGTCAGCATGTGGAAATGACACTAGAGATGGAACCAGAGATGATGAAACCGGCTCTACAATGCCACTCGATTTATCCTGCTTTCTGTGACTTCTGTGGGATGGAATCGGAGATGGAACTGGAGATGGAACCGGTGTTGGAACCGGCTCTACAACGCTACTCAGTTTGTCTTCCTTTTTGTGACTCCTGTGAAATGCTGCACAGATTCTATGCATGCCCTTCCGAACTGAGTTCATCCGACGCCCTTTATTAGTCTCCAAACTTTCATCATTGCTGCTGCCGCTTTCATTCTGATTGGGTCCAGATCCAGTTGACCTAAAACTTTCAATTGGACTACTATCCTACCCATGGATTTTAGTATCAAGAAGCCTACTCTTCCTTTTTCTAGGCTCCCAAATTTGTGTAACTTCACTCCCTGGCTGATGGACCCAAATCCCAGTCTCTTGTTGCCCATCAATGTCAATTGGTTCAAATATATCTGTCACTTTTGGACATTCCGGTGATCCAGATGAGCAGGAATCTCTCTGAGCAGCTTCGCTTGTGAAGAAATTTCTTCTAGATTCGTCGTTTGGTGTTTCATTGTCACACAGATGATCTGCCTGTATGAACCATGCCATGCTTATTAAATCAAAACTCTTTGCATTGCATTGTTCCTATTAACCAAGTCCATCATGTTCTAGATACATTTCATTTCTTCTAACTAGAGTATGGTTTTTAGGATTACATAAAATAAGTTTTTCCTGTTTTCGTTCATGTTGCGGACTCCAAACCATGAAATAGATATGTCCCTTCAAATACCATGGGAAACAAAATGCTATCTCATAGAATGTTGTGGCAACCTTATGTTCTCTGTTCTAGTTCACTAAACTATAGGGAGGGAAAACAAAAAATATATATATAAATACCTTTCCGTTGCCTTCGACTACAGTTATTGCAAGATACAGTCTCCCCATTTTTATGTTCTGAAGAGACAACCACATGTCATGTCTCTGGCCATCCTTAAAATCACAGAAGTTTATGGAATAATCTCTGCAAATAATGCGAAAAATGGTACGTTATTTAAGAAACCGAAGATAAGCTTGACAGAAAATCTAGCAAATAGAATATGTAGAAAGCATGGACATATGCCGACCTTAAATATCAACTAACCACAACTCAGACATTAAAATGCAATCTGCAACTCAATCAAATAATCATAGCATGCGATAGATCAAAATTCTGTATGCTTACTATATTTGTCAACCAGCAATATCTAAAATGAAAAACTATAGAAATATATATATATATATATATATACATCGAGTAACTCTACAAATTGACAATTTTAAGGACATGATACTTTTCACAAGAACTTCCCACAGTTATACGGATTATTCCATAAATGGAAAAGATGAGAAACACACACAAATCTAACTGTCACCTTTTATTATTTCCAAGTTTCCTAGTTAATTTTAAGAGGATCTGGAGAACTGAAACCATGTAAAGTTGTAAACTTGTGAATAGTTTGCAAATGTGAACAAACATGAAGGGGAAAAGTAAAATGGGAAAAATATATATATATACTAAGTTAACAAAATCAAGTTCTTTATTGCATAACACTACATAAATTGAAGTGACCATTGCTATTATAACGGGGTTTAGAAACAGACCCGAGGACATCATCCACAAAACGGTCTTTGTCACGAACTTCAATGGTAAGCACATTAGGTGAGTCCCATGAAAAAATGGGGATCTTGAATTCTTCATGCCATTTTGGAGTCAATGTTTTCTTCCGTGTTTGAGTCCTGAACCTGCAAGGGCCAAGTTTCCCTTTTAGATATGGATCAGCCAATCCTGGAAAACAACTCCAGTTAGTGTCCATAGAATTTGAAAATTTGCAATGTTTTTGAAAGATGGGTAATGTAGCTCAAACTAACCATTCGAATTTGATGGCTTCATGTCGGCTCCTTCAACAACTTCTATTATGCCATAGGCAATAGGCTTCTTCTCATCCATAGAGAACCAATTTTCTGACACAAAGAATCAATATAATTTTAACATTTAGAAAAATTCAAAAAAAGAATTAAAAATGAAATGCAAGAATTTCAAAAAATTAACTAGATACAAAACAACATACATTTTAATCCTAAGAAGAAGCACGCATAATTATTTGCTTAATTGCAGATGGATGAGATTGCTAGGGACAAAATCCACCCATATAGCACACAAACAGCAAGTAACATAACAAATGTCCAAGAAAAGAAGATGAGCAACCAATAACAAAAACCGTGTGTTTTTTTCAATATTGCAAAGCAATTCTATGTTTCAAATGAAGCTCTTCTACTAGAAGTTCAAATTTTCACTTACAATCTACAGCAAATGCTA